CACTCATCTTACTCTGTGAAACATTTTCCTGCTTGTACTTCATCAATCTGCCTGTTCTGCTCCCCACTCTGTCCCTGGTGAATCCTCTCACCGCCCCTGCACCTCTGGCCTGTACCCCAGTTCTGTGTGCATAAATAAATCTTTAAAAAAAAAACCACTTTGGAAACTTCCTTGGGAATGGAGTTTGACTGTGAGGGCCCCTGTCTTTCAGTATATAAGGGACTTTCTGTCCTGGATGGGCATGTGAGCAGCGTCTGTCCAGGCTCACGGGTGGCAGCTGGGTCAGACACAAGCAAAGAGGAGCCTCACGCTTCTACCAAGACACTTGGTAATGACCAAGTGTCTTGGAAATGACTGAGCAGGTGACCTAAACACAGAAACGTTCACCAACCTTTCGGATTTGCTGGGGCTGAGTGAGCACACGCGGTGTGAAAGCATCTTGCTTCTGAGCCGCAGGCTGGGCCACGGCCGCCGACAGAGCAGCAGCTGCAGTCTGGGGCTGAGTCTGGATTCCCGCTTGCGGCGCCTACGAGGCAAATTGAAAAACGGAATCGCCAGAACCGCAAGTTAAAACCAAGAGTTTAAATGTGAAATAACTGGTCACTTGCGTCTAAAATAGCCAAATGTTTACAGATACACACTTCACACGAACCATAACAATTCTAACCCTGAAACTGATAGGCCAGAGCAGTTATTTTCATGTTGTTTAAATGGCCAAAACTTTTCATTGAAAATCTGGGGAAAATGTACGACAATGGGAAGCTACTGCAGCTCCACACACACACCAGGCCAGGCACTGCAGTGACTTTAATGGCAACAAGGAGCTGCCGTCAGTCGGCTGCGTGCCCAGCAGAGCGTGCGGCTCGTGTCCCCAGAGCGTCACTCCAGTGGGAGGCTGGGGTGGGAGAAGTTACACTATGGCTTTCAGTTCCCAGACACTCCAAATACTGAACAAACAAGAGGCTGTGCACATGCCCAGGGCTTTGAGGTCATGCCTCCTAACCCCCAGGGCACGGTGACTCTCCACAAGGGTCGATACCCGGCAGAAGGCAGAGAAGCAGCTGTTCAGATGTCATCACCCGTGGCTCACAGTTGTTAAAACCTACCAGCTGCCAGTCATGGGAGGGACAGTGCAAGCCACACAGGCAGGAAAGGGCAGGGCAGGTTCACTGAACCATCACCTCTCAACATGCCCACTCTGAAGCTGGGGTCACTCTGTCTCCTTGGCACTAAAGAACCCCACTTGGGAGGCAGATCCAAGGCCTGCCCCAGAGGAGAAGCTCCGGAGTGAGCAGGAGAACATCTGAGTGGCACCTCTAGCCTTGAGCAGTTTCAAACTTTGGAAGACCTCAGTTTCCGTGCCCAGAAATGGGCTGGGCACTTGGGGGACACTGCATTAGAATCTAGGGGGAGGAAACCATTCCAAGTCCTATAGAGAAACAGCATCAGCCAGCCACATTTCTAAATGCCCCCAGGCCCCAAATGCACTTTCTGCCACTGCTAAGCCTGAACTGAATGCCCGAAAGAGCCCAGGCCCCAGCTCTGCAGCCACAGAACATGGACGGTAGAAGACCCTTCCCACCTGGAGTTTGAGGCTGCCCACTGGGAGCTGCACGGAGGTGACGCTGGAGCCCTGGATGGACACTGGCAGCAGCAGCTGGGCAGTCTGCGTGGTCAGTAACGCCTGGGGCTGAGCCACGAGGGCCGGCGGCGGCTGCCCCTGGGGACTCACGTAGAACTGGGGGATGACGCTCTGCGGCTCCGCCTGGGCCAGCGGGGCCTCTTGCTTGATGACCACAGCCTTCTTGGCAACGAGGGTCTGGCCGCCCACCGGGAGGGGCTGGCCCGCAGGGTGGCCGGCTCCCGGGCCAGGCGGCCTGGAGCTGGAGCAGTCGCTGAGCGCGCCCTCGTCTTTGATGGAAGAGCCCCCATGTTTCTGGTCTGACTGCGTGACAGGATTTGCTGGTATGCCAGGCTGGGCTTCCAGAGGCCGCTGCTGCTGCTGCTGCTGCTGCTGCTGCTGCTGCCCTCGTTTTTCAACCTCGAGTTGCATTTTCAAAACTTCCACAAGTTTCTGCTCTTGTTCCAGCTTCCTCTTTAGCTCTTCAATCTGCTTCTCTTTCTCCTGAAGCTTGCGGTCCTTCTCAGCGGCGTCCAGCTCCAGGTTTGACAGAGTGCTGCTGGTGGGACTGGGGCTGTCTTCGTTACCGGCCACCCTCAAGGGAGATGAGCACAAGAACTGCGAAGGGGACACCATGGTCATGATCTCTGTGAACGTGTCTGCCATGTTCGTGTCCTCAGGCCCCAGGCTGGACTGCTCGGAGGGAGGGGGGGAGATGGGCAGAGGCGAGGTAACATTTTCGACGTGGGGAGCACTGCTGGCTCCGGCAGCTGGCAGTTCTGCCTTAAAGGTGGGGCTCGAGCTGGCCGCAGAGCTGTGCAGCGCTGGCACCGGCAGTGCCGCAGTGGCCTCTGGGCTGCTGGCGACCAAGGCAGGCGCGGACACGGCCACGAGGCCGCCGGCGGTGGCCGCGCCGCCGCTCACTTCCTGGTAGGGCTTCAGGCGCTCGATGAGGTCGGGTTTGGTGCCCGACACCGGGAGGCCCCTGCGCTTGAGCTCCGTCTTCAGCTCTGACACCTGCAAGTACAGACGGGTCAGACCTCCGCGGCCTGCCAGCACGGACACACACCGGCCGGGGACCCGGGAGGACCGCGATGAAGCTGCGGTTTCTCGAGGGCGACTTCTGCTATGTCGAGGAGAATACTAACTGCCAGAAGTGGTGACACCGACGCTTCCTGAGTAACTGCCATGCCAGACAGCCACGTTCTCTGTCCTTTCAATCAATGTTCGATCAATGGGACAGCTGTTACACTTCCGTTTCACAGGTGAGATCGCGGGGAGCGTTCACTCGTGCAAGCTAGGGCAGAAGCAAGCCTGGCCCTGGACCACACTCATCTTACTCTGTGAAACATTTTCCTGCTTTGCCTAAACTTGGCGCTAAGCAGCAAAGAAGAAAACCAGCCTCTGGAGTTAAGCAGAACTGGTCGGGTGCTTGCTTACGGTCTATACTCACTGGTTATTACTGGTCATGGTAATATAAACTGACTGGAAGTGAAAAGGAAGCAACTCTATAAAGGCTACCCTTTTTGGAGTTGAAAGTCTACCGACCACCACCCAGATCTGCCTGCCGCATCCCACAGTTTTGTGGGACTGAGGGGAACTCCTCTTGGGCGTCATCACCTTTAAGTCGTCCAGGCTAGAAGGCAGCGGTCCTGGCTTTCTCACAGGAGCAGGTGCATTCTGTCTCGGCGTGTTAGGCGTGGTATTGCTCAGAGCTGGATTCCCACTGTTATTTTTGTCATTCAGTGGCCTTAAAAAGAAAATCAAAGTTTATTAAAATAATCTGCTGCTTTGCCGTTTGCTTCTGCTAACAGTTGACTAACTTCTGGTTATCCGTGGTCATGGAGCGGCAAACCCAGTATTATGAAGCTGTCAAATTACATACCAATAAATATCTGCAGGGCTTGCTGGCTCGCTCGGGAGAAATTTAGAAAGTGTTCCTAAGCTCCGTAGGAAAATACAAAGGCCCAAGGATGGCCGTGGAATCCTTCAAGGAGGCAAATAACTAGAAGAGTCATCGCACCAGAGGTCACAATTTATTACACTCCCGCTAAGATGACATTGGTGCTAGTATGATGGGGACAGAGCAGACAAACGGGAGACTCGAGAATCCAGGGGCAGCACCCCTCCATACGTGGGCCCCTGAGCTGTCAAAAGATGACACTGCTCTGCGGTGGAGAAAGGCGAGGCCTTCTCACAAGCAGCAATGGGAAAACTGGGTAGTAATACATAATAAAAGGGGGCTCTTGATTGACACCCATACTTCACATCATCCCCCAAACATAAATGTGCGTTGTAAAACATAGAGCCTCCAGAAGATGACTCTTGGTCATGTCTTCATGACTTTTGGATAGGAAAAGATTTCTTCAACAGAATACAGAAAGCACTCAGTGAAAGGCATGCCCTGAAGAGGGTGAAGTCAAGCTAACAGGGGGAGATAGCTGTAATATTTCTGACAAAGGCCTGATATCTGAAATATTCAAAGAAGCCTTGCAAACCAGCAGGAAAAACCCATAAAGCCCATCAGTTGAATACAGAATAAGCATGCCACAAGACAGTATATCCCAGTGGTCTAGAGATAGGTGAGCAAGCGCTTCCCTGAGAAGAACAAGGAGAAGGGAAGCGAAACCCCGCCCGAAGGGCAGGCTGCTGCACGGAGGCGCTGCTCCCCACCGGACGGCGAGTGCCGCCGCAGACACGTGCACGCGGGCTGCGTCACAGGCTGCTCGACAGGCCAGACTGCTCTGCGGGGCGGGGGGCACTGCGAAGGATGTGGGCGAGCTCTGGGGGATACTGGTAATTTCCATGTCCTGATGTAGGTGGTGGCTATGGGGGCTTACTTGGGTACCAGTTTTCACTTAGGATTTATGGGCTTCTTTGTATGTAAATTATACTTAACTTAATAGTTTTTTTTTAATAGTGCTGAATCAATTGCTAAGTTCTAAAGTTAGGCTCTTTTGCAATAACTCCCCAAAACCCCTTTCCACATCCAAGCCAGGTCTACCTCTGGCTCCTACTGTGACTTCGCAAGTCCTTTCTGGTGACCGACACCTGCTTAAGAAAGGGGCAAGCAAGGCTTGTGCCGGCCAGAGCTACCGCGGCCTTGGGCTTTCTGGGGTGTCAGCCTGTGCGGAAGCCAGAGGTGCCGAATTCCACAAAAAGGGGCCTGAGGTGACAGTGCCGTGGGTGAGCATCACGGCTGGATGAGCTTTGTCCAGTGAATTCTACCAGGAAGTCTGTGACTGAAGCCAGTCCCGGCCCTGACTACAGCTAACCCGACATTCATTTTGAGGCTTTTTTAAAAAAACTTGCCTAAGTTTCACACTTCAAGTATTAGAGATGAAATTTCTTTAAATTTGGATGAAATGAAAAATATTTCAAATTCAACATTATAGTTTAGTGTGATGAAAACATTTGATTAAACAACTATCTCAATTTTATTTTCATTATTGTTCCCCCAAGGAACATTTTTTTAGACTTTTTTCCCTACGCGTGCTCCCCGTGACATTTTAGTGCCGCAGACATGCTGCCGTCTGTGCTCCGTCAGTAAATGTGCAGTCCCCGCGGCCGGCCTGTGCGCCTTCTGGATTATTTTCTTCACAATGTCATTTAGATGAATGACTCCATTCATGTTATCTTTTTGACTGAGACCTACAACCCCTGTTACTATTTGTAACAATCAGTATTTAACTGAACCTTTAACAAAATTATTCTAAATTGATTTACTGTCCCCTCAAAATCAGTTGAAAAGCAGGGGAGGCAGATGACTGTGGTCATGTACCCAGGAAACCCCAAAGTCCAGAGCTGGGAAGAGATCTCTGGGCCTACTGGAATTTTGGTAAAATGAAAATGTATTAGAAAATACCTGCTTTGAAAAAATTAAGCAGAACTACGTGCAGTCTTTATGTGGTAAAACACAAGGCGTGGTCTTTGCTCTTCCCGGTTTTGGGGTCCTTTTGTGGGCCACTTTTCCTGGCAGAGGCGGGTGGTATGGTGGGGAGGCTGAGGAGTGGGCACTGGAACCTGAAGCGGACAGACGCCCCGCGTGGCGTGTCCCTGGGCCACAGGCCCGCGCCCATCCCGGCAGGGCCCTTTCAGGGGACCGTTTCTTCCTCTGGGAATGAGTCAGCACTGCCAGCGGCACCTGGGGTTCCTGTGGGGCCCCGATGGCCGAGGCCAGCACAGCGCCTCTTTGATATTCTTCCCATTCTCTTTGACCTCTCCTGGTTCCCTTCCAAAGTCAACGCCTCACTCAGGCCTGCCTGCTCTGACAGTGATAAAATCCTACAAAAATTCCTTCTGCTTCCTCTCTGTGTCCTGATGTTTTAAGTGAACTGATAATCTCCTTCTCTTGTCGCCCCTTTGCCTCAAGCCCCCCTTGCCTTTCCTGTCTACATATCTACATTCAGCTTTTATGCTGAGCTTAAAAAAAATTTCTACCATATCTCTGCTACTTAAGTTTTCTCATAGCAGTTAATACTATTTGAGTAAATAACAGGCAAATCTTTGCTGGATGAACAGTGTGAGAAGTCACGTCTGGCCCTCCCGGGTAGCGCAGTGGGTCAGGGCGCAGCCCTGCAAGCGAGCCGCAGCCCCTTCAGTGCGAGTTCGATCCCCGCCCCGGAGCTGACCCACACGGCCCGGCAGACCTCTCCAGCCTCCCGCTGCTCCCCTCGGCAGTGCACTTCCTCAATCTGCCTGTTCTGCTCCCCGCTCTGTCTCTGGGGAAGCCTCTCACCGCCCCTGCACCTCTGGCCTGTCCCCCAGTTCTGTGTGCATCGATAAATCAATCTTTTAAAAAAAGAAAAGTCACATCTCACTTGAAACATTCAGAACCTGTCCTGGAGGACAGCCCCGGACTGAAATGAAACGCAGGCTATTTTCTCTGTTGACTTTAGACACTGAGAGGCTTTGATGAGACTAAAATGAAAACAGCCCCCCTGCACGTGGAAATCAGCCCCGTCTCTAGCACTGCCAGTCCCCAGACAAGCCCCAGCGGGCACTCTCGGGGTGGGGCCCAGCATACTTGAGCGGGGCGGGCAGGATGGCCTGGTAGTTGTAGTGCTGCTGCTGCTGGCTCAGGATCTGGAGCTGCAGGAAGAGCTGCTGCTGCTGGAGCAGGCGGGCGTAGTTGGAGTCCATCTGCGGCTCGTGCTTCTCACCTTTCTGGTCTGGCGGGATGTACTGGTGGTACTTCAGCTTCTTTACCCGCGGTTTGGGGTCTTTGCACTTCTTGCTCCGGTGTTTGTCATTTGGATTCTTGGGATGGCTTTGCTATTTTCCACAAGAAGAAAATACGACTATTTTAAGAGAGCCTAGTACATGCCAGCTCTACTACATGTCTGCATGATTTTCAGTTAAAATGCACCTTTCCATTCTAGAAAGCCATGTACTGACTGTATTTCAAGTGCCATGGAAATATCTGCATGTAATATCTAAAATTGTTAAAAACCCTGTGGAAAATACGTAAAAATAGAAAAATGTTTCTAAATGAAAATAAACCAGAATACAAAGCTATATATTTTTAGGGCAAAATAACAGAGAAAATTAAAATACCAATTGATGCAAAAAAGAACTTTTAAAAAATCTTGAAATGACTGCATTTTTGTTTTGAAAATGTGGTAAGAGATTCCATCTGATGGTGAAGAATCCAGTGGTTACTTCCTGAGTTATTTTCTTCTCCAGTTTTAAGTTATTAGATCAATTTCTACTTTTTAGTACTCATAAGGTAACACTGCCTGAAAAAAAAACAGTCCATCAACAACAACAAAAAAACAAGATACAGAGAACTCTTCAGCTGCTTTAGGTGAGACGCCCAGTAAGACGACTCTGAGAAGGACGAGGTGGGATCCGGCCATTTACGTGAACACATTCGTGTTCACAGAATGGGGAATTGCCGTCCCCCGGCCAGACAGACAACAAACAAAAACCACCACCCAAAACAACGAATAAAAATCACTGTGTCCCACAGATCAGAAATCACCAGTCCCAAGTTTGCTTCTACCCATGGCCACCTCCGTTGGGTGACACTGACTTCCTTGTTCACACTTCTCCTCTGTTTCCATGGACACCCCAAGGCGAGTCCTTCCCCTCTTGCGCATCTCACCCACATGCTGCCTGCTGACCTCACAGCACACCTGGCCTCTCCCGCGTCCCTCTCCTTCCTATGCGGCTCACCTCCCCGCACACACTGTGTTTTGCAGTCTGCCTGCCTCCGCTCTTGGCCGAGGGGTGGCTCGTCACTACCCTCCACTCCCTTCTCTACTCCTGGGACCCGAGTCTGGGCAAGCACTGATAATTCAGCTGACTTCTGATTAGCACAAGTCATCAGGAGTTATTTGTAAATAATACACCTGTCCTAGCCCCCAAGCCCTCCTTAAACTCAGCAGCTTGTGAAGAGCAGAAATTCAGAGCCGAGGAGAGGTGCAGATCATATGCTAGCACCCAGGGGCAGGTGGGCTGGCGCCCGGAGGGCGCCTCTAGTGGCACCTGCTTGGGGGTGGGGAGAGGAGGTAAGAGCTGACATTACTGACAGTTGCCATGTCCTGCCCTCTGGAGTTTCAGGGTCCAACAGTAAGAGGTGGAAGTGCATCGATATGCTCCACAGCCAGCCACTGACAGCCTTTCTCTCCAGGATGGACAAGGACATGTCCAGTGAACGGACAGAAGCGGGGGAGATGCAGGGGAATACTTGTGGGCTGCAGGGTTAGCTGGGCGGCAGCCAGGCTGGGACGCAGGCTGTCTCCTCTGCCTGTCAGGTCTGCAGAACTCCGTCTCCGCTGAGCGGTAGGGGCGTGAGCTAGCTCCCCAGTATTTTAAGTTTGAGACCGGCTCATCTGGACAAAAACCCACATCTGATATGATTAGCTATACCTCAGTTTACCCCTGTCACTTTATCTAGTAGTCCCAAAAATACATTTAGTATCTCAAAAAATGTACTATATACTAAAACGTTTTAAAATTCCTTGGGATTTATGCTAACGGAATCACTTTGACCAAGTATACTGCCAGAATGTAGGGAACAAAGCCACAAATCTGCAGCTTCTCTTTAGAACAAACTAAACTTCATCAGGCCACACAAATCTGCTAAGCCAAAAAATGCACTTGCTTCTCTATAAAAACTTGAACTTGTCGTGTAATACCTATCTGAAACGCCACTGCGTCTGACCTTGTTTATAAACTTCAAAACCGCGTCGCCAGGAAAGAGGCCTGCTCGAGAGGCCGCGACGCCTCACTCCAGCACCCCGTTTCATCTGAGTGCCCGGGAGGTGGGAGCGTGATAACGGGGTCCCAGGGCCTTCTGCACAGCACCGCAGAAGGCTGTTCTACTGCAACCAGGGCAATCGGCACTTGTTGAAGGCTTGGTCCGGCAGCCTCCCCAGCTCTTCTGTTTGTAGCTCCAGGCTGAACATGACACACAGTCACAGTCAAGACACTCAAGCCCCACATCTGCAGAGCACCCACCTTTACCAGTGCTGGCCCGGGCTTTGCTGAGGACACAGTGTTTGTGGGGAGGACGGGAGCTGTGGACCTTGTGGGGGTTTGATCCGCAGGAGGAGTTTTCAAGAATTCAGGAACTGCTGGGGGTACTGAAGTAAACTGGTGAGAAAGAAAGGAAAAAAGTCCGTAAGATCAATTAAGCAATAAATTATCAATAATTTAATAAATCAATGAAAATATGCAAAACAGAATTCTAAAGGAATCTCATTTTAAAAAAGAAAGTCTGCTAAAAAGAAACAAAAGAAACGATGATGCCTGGCGGAACAGCAAGCTTCACTTGAGTGGAGTCAATTATTTAGACTTGGCCTTCGCGGTGATGAAAAAGCTGAAGCTAATTACGGTTAGGCTGAGTAAACTCTAGAAAATGTTTTCTCAAAAATATGGTTAGAGTCAACTTTTGTAGCAGAAAGAGCTCCCAAACCATCCCTGCCCTTAGCCGCCACCAGGCTGCTCTCCGGAGCTCCTCCTCCCTAGCTCTCATTCCTGCAGCGGGGGAGAGATGAAGAACCGGAGCTGATAAGAGTGACCACCTATTTCACTAATAACCCCCTCACTGGAAGCAAGAAGCTAATATACTAAGCAATTATTGAATCTCAGCTTGGAGTCATGTCGGAACAAAGGAAGCTACAGGAGATTTTGTTCCTCTTCTTATCAAGTAACACTAGCACTCTGCTTCAAGTAGATTTTAAGTATTTAATTATTGGAAAGAGGTATTACTACTATAATAGATCAGTTAAATGCTGCTCGTCGATCACTACTTGAATTCACTAGCGCCAGCCTTCTCTAGAGAAGAATTATCTTTATCACTTCCACTTTCCTGAACAATTCTCAAACTCATTACAACAGTCAAAATCAGTTCTCTCGTTGAAGTATTTGGTTTCAAAAATAGTAAACTGTATTTTCCCTCCTTAAAATAAATGACCTGAAAACTTAGAGGACTCTTAGCAGCAAGAAATATGAAGCCCGGCACATACTAGTTACTCAATAAATGTTTGTTTGATGGGTGAATGGACATTCCCTGTGGCTGTGCTCGTGCCTGGCTACACGCTCAAGATGCTGAGACTGGGCAAGCTCACCACGCTTGCCTGAGCTGGCTCCATCCTCAGGACTGTTTGGTCTTGATTTTAGCTTCTCAGTAATTATTTGTAAACGTTGACAACCTGAATTTTCAAAGATGGTTGTATTCAACTTCACTGTCAAACAGAAATGAAAGGCCCCACTGCGAGTCTTGATACCTGTGTTTCAAGCGGATTCTGTCCTCAAATGGCCTTGAGGCCGTGGGCCCAGCGAACCTCCACACAAAGTGGATGGTGATGGGCAGCAGGTAACTGCGCTAAGGGACATGATTTTTATTTTTTTAAAGCCATTGAGTTTTTTTTTTTTTTTTTTTAAAGATTTATCTATGCATACAGAACTGGAGTACTGGCCAGAGGCACAGGTGTGATGAGAGGATTCACCAGAGACAGAGCGGGGAGCAGAACAGGCAGATCGACAAGGTACACTGCTGAGGGGAGCAGCGGGTGGGTCAGGAGAGGTCTGCCGCGCCACGTGGGTCACCTCCGGGGCAGGGATCGAACTCATGCTGAGGTGGCTTTAGCTTCTTAGTGCTGTGCTTTAACTCACTGTGCCACCAGGGAGGGCCGGGACATAATTTTATGTTGTTTTCCTTTCACTTTGCACATTTTTTAAGGAATGAGGATATTTTTCTCTGGGTCAATTTTCACACAAGAGAGAAACATTCCTTGGCTATTAAATAACTGGCATATGAAGCAGAACCAGATACTTGAACTGTGAAATATGTATGTGTACTTCTCTGAAGATTGAACCCTACAACCCACAACCTACTTTACCCCACTCCCTGATATGATAGTAATGATGTGTCTGAGAGCAGTCAATGTTAATAATCTGAGTAACGACCCAGGCGTGTGAATGTGGTATCCATTATTACATTTACAAAATGGCTTGTAGACCCCGTCTACCTGACATCAGTCTTGATTATTAATACAGCGCATCTCCACTTAGGATTAACCAGGAAGCACCTAGAAAACTATGACTTTAATGGACACCATGAGACCACTTTTACCAAAGGTGAACTGATACACAGGAGTTAAGGTCCAACAGTGAATTTCTAGTCACAAAAACATCACCAGGCCCCTCCCTGGTGGCACAATGGGATAGGCTGCAGCTCTGCAACCTAGCCGCAGCCATTTCAGTGCAAGTTCAATCCCCAGCCCCAGAGGTGGCCCACATGGCACGGCAGACCTCTACTATCTCGCCTGTTGCTCCCCTCAGCAGTGTACTTCGTAGATCTGCCTGTTCTGCTCCCCACTCTGTCTCTGGTGAAGCCTCTCACTGCCCCTGTACCGCTGGCTTGTACCCCAGTTCTGGATGAATAAATCAATCTTTAAAAACAAACATCACCAAACTGCTAAATTAAGACTCCAAATGGCTACTACTTCAACCCTAATTTGTACCCCCTGACTCACTCACCCGCTCCCAGCCCTCTGTCCGGTTCGGGCTGCAGGTGGCAGGACCCTGTCGTGGGACCCTCTCACGGTGCAGGGCAGGTGCATCACCACGCCCACACTTGCACAGACTGGGGTCGCTGAGACATGCCAGAGAACCTTTCAAGTGACCTCTGGGCTGTGGAGGACCCAGGGTGGCCGGAGAAAACCCACACGGACACAGGAGAACATGCAGATTCTCAGTGGCCCTGGCTAAAATTTTCTTTCCCCCTCAACAATGGAACAAAACAACCTAAAATGAAACTGCCTTATCCATGGCCCCGTCTCTGCGCTCATCTGCTCTGTTGGCATTTGTGTGACTCTTCTCCTTGCACCACAGGAATCACCCAGCGGGGACACAGCAATTGCTGATTTGACTCATCTGAAGATAAAGTTGGGTTCAAAAAGGCTAACTATTGAATTTTCACATTTAGCCAATTTTTATCATGCACTGTAGGAAGGACCAAAAACAAAACCAAACCTGAAAACTCACAAAACCAAATTTAGATCATATACTCATGGCTCATTATCAAAGTAATCCAAATATTAGTAATTCTGAAAGGACAATCTTCCAAGAAGGATCAAGCAAGGAATATCCACGCCAGAAAAATACTATACTTACTTTTTCTATAATAAATTGAGCAATTATGTTAAAAACCTTAAAAGAATGTGTTAAATTGCCACTGAGATGTTAAGTTCGCCTAAAGCACCATCAAAATTTAATCTCAAAACCATTCAGCCACAGCTTTGTCCACTGGCTCCACTCACTGATTCATCACAGTCACAGCCCTTTAACTGCCATCATAACGCCATGAAGGAAAATGCCAGAAGAATACTGGTACTTAAAGAAGGACATTTTTGCTTTAAATAGAACTCAAAACGCTTCCAATCTTAACACCGATTTTTCCCTTACTGAAACTGCTGTAAGAAAAGTTCTGTTATGAAAAAAACAAAAACAAACAACTCAGAGCAAATGTTTAAGTGGATTAAAGTTTCCAAATGTCTGCGCTGGTACCTTCTAAGAAGAGATACTGTTCTCCAGGATGTTCCCTTTTAACTGTCATTTGTTAAATGCAACCTAGACATGGCAATCTAAAAACCAGATATTTAAAAAAAGCATTTCTTATTGTAGATTCTGAATACACAGTAAGTGTGTTTTTAACTTAGGATGTAGAAGAGTGCTAGTTGTGGTGGTAATATGCAAGTAAGAAATTCAAAATGCAGTTCTTTAAATGTTTCCACACTCTAATCCCCAAATAAAATACACTAGTCCAAGAGTAGGTTTAAGAGAAATGAAAACACGTTTTCTAGCTTGAACACATACGTCAGGTTCCAGCTGTGCTAAACCCACCACTTGGCGCCGCCCGCTCGCTGCACATGCGTGAACACAGAAGTGAGTCGATCCACTGGCACAACGCTGGCGGACATTCAGTTAGTACTTAATTTCCTGGCTGGCAGTGAAGGCTACTTTAAAAAAAATTGTGGTAAAATAAACATAACATTAACCACTTTTAAGTGCTTAGTCCTAGGGCATGAAGTACAACGAGGCGGTCATGCAACCACCAGCCCCCTCCCCCCCCCAAAAGCACCTGTCACTGCTGATCAACAAGCGCAGCCCTGGACTAGGCGCCGCTCAGACTACGCCCACACCACGCTCCCTTTCCGGGACAGCCTTCTTCACTTAGTGTAATGACCTCCAGCTTCGTCCATGTTGTGAAATGTGTTGGAATGTTCTTTATAGGGCTGAGTGATATGCCATCGTGTGTACGGAGCACATCTGGTCTCTCCAGGTATTCTATTTTCACTTAGGGCAGATACCCAGGGGTGGGGGTGTGGAATCAGATGGTACTTCAATTTTGACTCTTGAGGACCTGCTATGCCAATTTCTCTTGTAGATGCCCATTTCGCATCCCCACGTCCCACCAACCCCTACTAATTGATGTTTTTTTTGGTAGCAATCATTCTGATGGCGTGAGGTGATGTCTTATTGTGGGTTGTTTTGCATTTCTTTAGTGGTTAACGATGCTCAGCATGTTTTCATGTGCCAACTGGCAGCCTGTTAAGCCTCTGTGGAAAAATGTCCCTCAAGTCCTTTGTTCACTTCTTTTTTTTTTTTTTTTTAAAGATTATTTATTTGTGCATACAGAACTGGAGTACAGGCCAGAAGCTCAGGGGTGGCGAGAGGCTTTACCAGAGACAGAGTGGGGAGCAGAACAGGCAGATCGACGAAGTACACTGCTGAGGAGAGCAGCGGGCGGGTCAGGAGAGGTCTGCCACGCCATGTGGTCACCTCCGGGGCAGGCAAGGATTTGAACTCATGCGAAAGTGGCTTTAGCTTCTCAGTGCTGTGCTTTAACCCGCTGCGCTACCAGGGAGGGCCACCTTTGTTCACTTCTAAGTGAAGTTGTTTGTCTTTTTTGTTGTACGTGTTGAGATGCAGAAGTTCTCCATATATTTTGGATATTAGCCCACTGTGAGATACGTATCTGCAAACATTTTCTCCCTCTCTGTGAATGCTTTTTACTCTGTTGACAGTGACCACTGAGGCACCAGAGTTCCTGACTGGGTTTCTGTATGGCGTAGATCTCTGGCACA